ACGGGTCTGTTCCTCCTGTCGGCGGGCCTGTTCCTCCTGTCGGCGGGCCTGTTCCTCCTGTCGGCGAGCCTGATCCTGCAGCATCATCATCAGAGCACCTAAGTCAGGTGCTGCAGATGCAGGAGCTGCTGACGGGCCGGCCTCCGTGGTTAGCAACTGGCCCTCCGACGTTTGCGGCGTTGCATTACCAAATCGTCTCTGGTCCGTCTCCTGTTGGCGTTGACTTCGGGTACGGATACCCTCCGTGTCGTCTTTAGGTAAAATCGGCATATTTGATCCCACTTCTGACACCAATTGTTACGAGCTTGAGGTTCGAGACAATTAAAAACTGCCGATTAAATTACCAAAATTGGCACTTTAATTACGGACACTAATTACACCTTAAAACACACTAATAATAAAACACAGTTCGCCGTTATTTCGCTTCGAAGTATTCTCTTGTATCGCCAATTCAATACTGCCCCGGTCGTGGTCTATACCGGCCTTATATAGGGCCTCAGATAGTTTCCAGAACCTTCTACTGTAGCGACATCTAGAATGTTCGAGTATATATCGGTCCCGAAATTTCTGGAAGGATCTCGACTCTCCTAGTTCTGCTACTCGACACTAGAGGGCGCTAGTGTGACTAGTGTTGCCATGTACAAGACATTAATAGTGGCGCGTAACAATATATTTAAAATTGTACCATATGTGTAATAAATACTAATAGTGAGTTAACTCGGTGACTAGACGGAACAACGATGGGGGGTAGTATGAAGGAGAGCCTGCCCGCGACGTCTACGGTAGTACCGGTCGACTTCGCTTGCGTACCGGTTCGCCCGTTTAGGAGTGTCACGTACACGGAATCATCTGCACAAATTTATTGTTTTGTTCATTACCCGATGGCAGAATTTAAAAAAAAAAAGCTTACAAATATTGTATTGTTCCTATGTGTCAAAGCACAACAGTTAAAAATCCCAATAAATTTTTTTTCGTATACCAAATAATATAACAACAAGGATAAAGTGGTGTAAACTAATGAACCGCAATTTAATTGGACCTAAAAGCACTAAATATGTGTGTGAAGGTCATTTTGATGTAAGTAACTATTAATAAAAGCTGCCTATTTCTGATTTGGAAGTAATTAGAAGTAATTGGAAGTAACGACTTTAGTAATGAGTTTGGGGGTGACTCGAACTTTTGGCCTAGTCAGTTTGAATAGCCTATCATGTAGAAAATGTCATGGTTGAATAGAAGAAAAAGTTCTCTTTACACTCCTAGGGTGTCAAAATGGCCAATAACCAAAAAATTAAAAATTCTTATTTTGGCTATAACTCCGCCTCCTTCGGAGGTTCTTACAGTCTTTACTTCCCGCATTCCATTTGTTGATATACCTATTGAGTCGTAAGTAAGTTCGGAATAACTTATTTAGTAAGAATAACTATATATTTTATGTAAATGTATTTGTTATTTACTTTATAACTGAAGCGTCAGTAACCTAATGGCAGGGTGCGAACCGTGAACTCGAAAAGTCTTGGGGTCGTTCGAATCCGCCATTCGACTACTTTCGTGAACCACTTATAACACAAGCATTTTAAGCTTACCAGAAGTGGTTAAAGGGAATATTAGTAATGTTTAATAGCATTACTAGTATTTAAAAAAAATATACGTAAATGCTTTAAAAATCAAATTTTTTTACCGGTTGAAAATGACATAGAAAATTTAATCAAACATCGACTAGTTGGGGGAACAGTATAGTTGAAAGTCAACATGTCCTCATAAATTTGACTATCAAAAGGCGGTGAAACCTCAAAAAGAACGAGGAGCATATGAAAAAAAGAAATCATAGGTTCGGCTGCTTTCGTGGGCTCGGAAGCGTTTACCACGAGGTGACGAACAATGATTTCTGGTGCTGTTCACCGATAAGTCCCGGTTTGGGTTTCATCCGGATTCACGAAGAACACGCGTTTGGAGAACTCCAGAGAGAGTAAGCCGTCTACGGCACGCTCAGGAGGTAGACTCATACCAAGGCGGGACAATCATGGTGTGGGCAGGAATTCGTCTTGGCAGACGAACCCAGCTCGTTTGGATCCAAGGCAGCATGACTGCACAAAAACACCACGAGGTGGTTGCAGAGCATGTTATTGTCCCACACAGATGCACGATAATGCTCATTCCCATACGCATACGGCGCGGCTGGTGTCGGCCGCTCTCCGAGACCACGATATTCATGTTTTGGATTGACCTGCACAGTCGCCCGACTTTAATCCTATCGAGCATGCCTGGGACATGTTACAACGAAAAGTTTTAAGAGATTTCGCGCCAAATTTGACGATGGAACAACAATTTTACGCAAAGAATATGGGACCTCTTACCGCAGCAAGACATTGACAATTTCATTTTAAGTATGAACAATCGATGTCGATGTGTAATTAATGTAAAAGGTGGCAACACTGGTTATTAATAATTAGACTTTATAATTTTTTTTTTCAATTTTAACTAAAATCAATAGTTTTATGGAAGAAATGAAATTTTTATCATACTAATTTTCTATGGCGATTAAAATGATTAACATATTTATTTAAAACAAAAATGTGACTGTTGAAATAAACTTAAAAGTGTATATATATATACTTAAAAAGTATAACTCCTTTTATTTCAGCACTAACATAAGACAGATTTAAAGAAAAAAGTCCATTTAATGTGTATATAACAATATTAGGCAAATTATCACTTTGTCCTTAGACGAAGCTTTCTTCCATTATACGGAAATAAAAACTACACACTCATAAATAAAATAGAAACAAGACTGTACGTAAATAAACCCGAACGAAGCAAGAGCCCTGGCGCGACTTTGAAGCTAATACCACAGAATAAATAATAGTACAAGGAAATTACGTTGAATATAATATTAACAACATTATGAAACTTCTCCATTCAATACTGACTCGGTCGCGGTCTATACCGGCCTTATATAGTGCCTCAGGTAGTTACCAGAACCTTCTACTATAGTAACTTCTAGAATGTTCGAGTACATATCGGTCCCGATTGGCCATGTGTCGATAGTTCTAGAAAGTTCTTCCATGGAAATTTCTAGAATGTTCTTAACTCTCCTCACTCGATATTAGAGGGCGCTAATGGTAACTAGTGTCGCCAAAGCATACAGTTATTATCATTTTAGCTGCAAGTTTTTTAAAAAACATAATGATCTTAACATAATAAATTGGACTAAGTGTCTGAGGATACAGATGCACTCTCTATTCTCTCAATCTCGGTATTTTAAGAAAATGGTCACTCATTCATGGACTGACCGCGGCAAGTGCAACTTAATCTCGCAGATCTATTGATCTGCGCAGCTATTACTTAACCACGACTTCCCCTTCTCTACAACTAACGCTGTAGGTGATGAACCAAACTATTTAAGCCCTCGGCATAATGTCGTCGGCCATCAAGCATGAATTGGGCACCGACCGTTGCGAGTATCAAATACTATGGAATTTATACTATCATACTATCATTACTAAATATCTATACCTAACTACGCTAAAAGTTTTATTATTGTGACTTGGGAATGTTACGAGCTTGGGGTTCGAGACAATTAAAAACTGCTGAGCGAATTACCAAATTGACACTTTAATTACATAACACTAATTACAACTTAAAACCACACTAATAATAAAACACAATTGTAATACAGATCACTTTAGTTCGCAGTTGTATCGCTTAGAACAAGGGTGAGCGCTCTTTTTAATTAATGGGCCAATTTAAATTTAAATATTTTTTTGGCGGGCCGAATATAGGTTAACTCTTATTAATAATTTACGAAACTTTATTTTAATAAATATAAGAATAAAAAGATATAAGATTAAAAAAAAGTAAAGATTTCATTTACAAATTTTAATGCAAAATAAAAACAAACACGAAAAGAACAGGAAAACGAATTTACTTGAAATTTATAACGAGAAATTTGGCACTGTTTTTTCAATACAAGCTGATCAATACCTGCCGGAATGGATGAGGTAGAATGCTGCACGTACGCAGCTTTCTAATCGTCCATCACTCAGTCTTGATCGGTGGTCATTTTTGATTAATTTCATGGTTGAAAATAATTGTTCGCAAACATACGTACTTCCGAACAGATACATTTGCTTTGCATTATTGTCGAAAGCGGAAATTTTTCAGCGCTCACATAAGATTTATAAAGATTTTCGATGTTTACTGAGAAAAATACATTTTTTGTATCGGTATTATTCTGCAAGTCAATCACTTCCATTTGAAAGTCTTCGGGAACTGTATCCACGTCGATATGAAATGGCGAGGAAAACATTTTCATGGAAACCGCTGTCTTCTCAGTTTTGAACATTTGGAATCGTAATTAAAATTCGTTGATTTAAATGTCTATATATTGTGCGTATTTTTGAGAAGTAGTGACGTTTTCTTTTTCTAAATGTAGAAAGTGAGACACATTATTCTGCAAAAGATGCTGTTTCCACAATTTTAATTTGCGCTCAAAGCCCTGAATTCAGGAGATATGTATAAACTGTCCTTTGCCTTGAAGTTCCACATTAAGATCATTGAGATGCTGAGTCATGTCGATAAGAAACCCAAAATCACACATCCATTCTTTATTATCAAAATGAGGAAAGGCATATCATACCCTTCATAGCCGAAAAAATTGTATGTCGCTTTTGAAGTTGTATACTCTTTTTAGCATAGCACCTCTACTAAGACAACGTACTTCGGTATTAAAAACCACCTCGCCATATTCAGTTTCTAAATCTTTCAGGAATTCTTTAAATTGACGATGATTTAAAGTGCGCGACTTTATAAAATTGATTAGTTTAATTATTGGTTCTGTGACATTTGGCAAACTCTATCTTTTCGCACACAAATTTTCCTGGTGAATTATGCAGTGATTAACGAATATATTCCTTCCTGTGACCTTCTTAATCTCATGAAATAGCACTCCCGATACTTCTACCTCCATGGTTGATATTGCTCGTGCTCCATCCGTCGATATACTAATAATCTTTACTAATGAAATTGAAATTTTTCAACACAGTCTTTAGTTCATTGTATAGGTCTTTGCCGGTTCTAGTCCCTTGCATTGGAATCAGTGAACACAATTCTTCGATAATATTAAATTTAGTGTCTATACCACGTAAAAATATAGCCAGTTGTGCTGTATCGCTAATATCGCAACTCTCATCAAGTGCCAAAGAACAGTATTCCATTTTCGCAATGCGTTCACGAAGCGTTGTTGCTATGTTCTCAAACAAGTCATCAATTCTCCTCACAATGGTGAACCTTGATAAACTATTGTTTGAAATAATATTTATTTTATCAGGAAATGCTATTTTTTCAACAGCAGGCATACATTCTTTTATCATCTCTCCATCGGCAAAGGGTTTAATTTTTTTTGCCAGTATTTAACTGACAACAAAACTAGCCTTTACTGACGTATTTGATAAAATTGCTTGATTTTTAAAGATAGCCTGTTGTTTTCCCAAGGTTTTCTGTATTTGATTAAACTTATCTATCCGGAGTTGTCCTGTTAAGTTTTTAAATTGTTGTTCATGTTTTGTATCATAATGTCTTTTTATGCGATATTATGTTAATGTCAACACAGTCTCTGAGCATATTTAAAGAAAGTGAAAAAATAATCAAATTTCCACTTTTCTTGAAAATGTCTATGCTCATCTGCAATCTTCCATTTTTTTGTATGCTTTTCTGTCATGCTATTATGGATTAAAAACCTGAGAGTTAAAAAAATTCGTACCTATTTAAACTTAATTTTGAATGAAAAAAATCTCTAATATTACCTTTTTGATAATGATATTGCACTCACGCCTTTCAAGAAACACAAGAATTGCTAAAATAGCTAGTTAACAGCTTATAATACCAGTCTGACTGATTGTGTGACAAAAGCAAACACATCAAGCACAGATGCATCGCGTCTGTATTGCATGTTTGAACTCTCCGCTAGGAGCACAAACTAGTAAGAAGTGGAGTAAAGTATTCTATGGTTTGAACAAGTCACCGACATCGACAACACATGTATCTCGTCACACAAAAATCGCGCAGACGCGGCGCGTCCGTATTGCATGTTTAAAAACGTCGTCGACAAGTAACTCGTCATAAAAAAATATTTTGGTTTAGTATGTACTACCATTTTATTATAATTTATTTTATAACAATATATAGATGGGAAAAAGTAGATAAAATAAATTAAATTTTAGAAATGCTTGGCGGGCCGCATAAACATGTTTAACGGGTAGCAAGCGGCCCACGGGCCGCGTGTTGCTCATCCTTGCTATAGTCCATAGTATATACTCGTATACTTTTTACCATTCGGGTAGAATCTACTAATTAGTATGTGCTTTTTACTGTACAATAATCTAGGGCTGGAGCTGGAGTTTTGGCGGGAACTTGACCGGCGACGGATTGCTGCTCCGGTATTATTGTTTAAATAATGGTTTGAAGTGGATTTTGATATATAAAAATGTTGCGATTTTGTGTATTAAAGGTCTGCGCATGTGAACTATTAGTGGAAACGGTAAAACACGTGCTCTGATGGTGATGTGATTTTCAAGATAAGGTGTCTGTCTGCTTAGGCGCCTTGAGTAACCATCGCCAACTGTCAGCTGTCTTCTGGCTCAAGTTGCCGTCAAAATCTCCCAAGGGTTGCACAATGTGACGCATCAATATATTTTGGAGCAGTGTACTATGAGGGATAATTATATAATGTAACGGCAATGTTCAGGCCATAGATAAATAAATATATAGGTTCATGCTCAGAAAAGCTAGAACTCAGAGCCGTAAAGCCAGTACTTAAATAAAATAATCTAGGAATCTATGATCTATGATATACCCACAAACTAGTAGAGATGAGACATACTTGCAAAATTTAATACCAGGGCTTCTAAGTACGAGTATGGAAAAATACTAGGGTCGAAAATCAGGTTTTAAAAATACTTGAAAGTATTTGTTAATGTCAATATATATATGAATGCCTAATTTGATTCCGGCAAATATTTATACTGAACTTTTTTTAATTTTTTTGGTAACGAAATGAAATCTTTCCTTCCTACTTTTCGGCTTAGGACTCATAATTAATAAAAGTTTTAAAACTGTCTCTATGTTCAATATACACGCGAAATAACTATTTAAAATGAGGTTACGGTCAGTAGGTTACGTAATCAGTTCACAATAACAATTGAATTTACAAGAAATCGAAACAAAACTTTTACTTCCTCGAATATAAACATAATTCTTATTACTTACTAGGTAATTACGCGACGTGTCCAGCCGCGGTGTCAGTTTGAAAATACTTGCAAAGAGTATAGTAATATATAAGGAAGAATACTTGCATAGGAAATCGACCCGCTTTCCATGTTAGGCTGTTATGAATAAGGAGCAAAGTCGTATAAATAAAAAAAATACTTTGAAGTTCAAAGTATTTTTCATTCACAAATACGATTGAGTTTCTTATTACTATTGAGATATGGATCATTTTCCTATGCAAATATTCTCATACTTGCAAGTATTTTTTGGTCGTAAAAGGGCGCCGTACTTTAAAGTTAAAACCTGGTAGCGTAAATACGTCTCTTTGCGACGCGAGGGATGTGTCCAGCCGTGTTGTCAAAATTTGAAAATACTTGCATAGGAATTTCACCCGTATTCCATGTTATCCTATTATGAATAAGGAGCAAAGTCGTATAAATAAAAAAATACTTTGAAGTTCTAAGTATTTTTCGTTCACAAATACGATTGAGTTCCTTACTACTATTGAGATATGGATAATTTTCCTATGCAAGTATTTTCATACTTGCAAGTATTTTATGCTCGTACTAGGGCGCCGTACTTTGAAGTGAATACCTGGTTTTAAAACCTGGTAGCGTAAATACGTCTCATCTTTACAAACTAGTAAGAAGTGCTAGCGCAACCTGTTAAGGTGGCTACCATCATGGTGGCTACTGACCTGCCTGCCGCAGGGGCAATCTAGTGCCTCCTCTACACTACTCGCGAAGTAGATTGAAGTTGGACGAGGCGAATAGTGTAGAGATGTACTTCGATTCACTTCGTCCAACCTCGCTTCGTCTCGGGCGACTTCCGATCGCTGTCGGTTTTTTGCGCCAGAGTCAAATGACTTCGCGAAGTACCCCGAAGTTAAACGAAGCGTCTCACTACACTACTCGGCTTACGACAGTTATAAATATTTTTTTTATATATAAATATTAAATATGTAGCTTTCTACATAATTATTTATTTAGTTTATGCATTGACGTCGTACGGTTTACATAATTAGGTGCCTATAGCAATTGCCTTTTGAACCTCATGTTAAGGGTGCGGGAGACTCAAGACGACTGAGCTCTTCGCGAAGTAGCACGAGTGTGTGGTCACGTTTTTCGGGCTGCGATTGACTTCGACGAGCACTTCGTCAAAGTTACTTCGCGAGAAGTTTAGATGCAGCATAGGAAGCACCGCGATCGGAGCAATATCGGAGCTGTCTCTACACACACGCCTGCCGTTCAGTATAAGAGTGTACGTTTTCAGTATATATAAAAGTACTCTGTGGTGTACGTCTCGCTGGACGCACGCGTTGAAAATGGCGCCAGTTTTATCGAAATATCAATGAATCAGTATATATAGCCTTGGCTCTTTTTTATATAGAATAAGGGTGACAAATGAGCACAGTCCACCTGATGGTAAGTGGACACTGTGGCCTATAGACACCCACAATAAAACAACCAATTAATTATTAATTACAACCATAATATAGTGCTTAGAAGCTGCAGCATAGCTCTGCCACGCTATTTTTAGGCTATCAAAGACAATTAAATATGACTAACTTTACTCGTCATAATTTAAGTTAAGTAATTAAGTAAAATAAAGTTAAGTTATATCACAGAACAAATTGGTATTTAAACAACTGCGCTAGCACTTCTTACTAGTTTGTGGATATAACTTAACTATCTAGTGCTTAGTAACTATAATTTAAGTAGTGTTACAAATAGCCAGGATAGTTTTCTAATGATGGTTTTAATAAAATTTATTTACTAAAATTTGTATTTTTGTTTAAATATTTATTTAATGACATTTTATTTATATTCCAGCAATTTTAATATTATTGGAATATTTACTTTCCCATACTAGCCCGTATGATAAGTTAGGTAACAAATCCCAGTAATATTACTTGTAAGTTACAACGTTCAAATAACGTTCTTTCTGCGGTTCTACTTGTACTCATACGTGTGCTCCTCGCGAAAGTCGCAACGAACTGAACGAAATTGGCCCAATTGCGCTACACAGCTACACACGCAACAGCGGCAGGGCCGATCTAGGGAGCAAGGAAGGTCTTGCCCTCCTGCAGTGTTGCAAAAGTGAAAAATGAAAAATCGATAGATTTGCCAGCTAAAAATCTGGAGAAATCGGGAGATTTTTATTTACATCCATGGCTTTAGAAATGTATCATAAAACGTTCTTTTTAGATGTCGTTCTTTTTCGTTTCATTTTTTTTGCGATCAAAATAATGTCTTTATAATTTAAACTAAAATTTTATGATTATATATATATTATTGCTACTCACGCTTCTCCAAAATTCTTCTGTTTCTTCACTGAGTGATTTAATTTCTTTCGTATTTAGAAGCAAACGCCATTCTAAATTTTTTTTTTGATAACTAATGCTACCTAACAAATTTGGACATAAAGCACAACAGTTCTCAACAAAACAGAAGAAGGCTAGTAATCAGTGAATGTAATTCTATGAACGAACCACACTATATATACATGGCCTAAGCTACCTAATTCGTAAAACAACCCGAACAAAGTAATCTTTAGGGATCTCCCCCGTACACTTACCAGACAATAACGAACTCTATTTTAAGATGTATCAGTGCAATATGCTTTAACCATACCGCGAAATTAAAAACCTAATAAGGTTATAGGTAATAAGGTATAAGTCCCATAGGACGTGGTGCGAGCAATTTCGGGAAGTCCCCGTACATAGATTTTGTGTTAAAAGTTCATTCAATTCAGTCAATTAGTATCTCGATCATTACTTTTCAATTTTATTTATGATTATTATTTTCCATTTGTTGAAAATGTAAAAAAATCGGGAGATACGTTCGCTAAATCGGGATATCGGGAGATACTAATTAAAATCAGTATATCTCCCGATAAATCGGGAACTTTTGTAACACTGCGCTCCTGCCGCCCTGCTGCAGAGCCGACCTAAAAAATTGCCCCTGCTTGCCTACACACATCACAATTAAGGAGGCAATTAAGGGTCATCCCCACTCCTACACGCTAGATGGCCCCTGCGGCAGGCAGGTCAGTAGCCACCGTAGCCACCTTTCTTTGCAGTAATAATCTATGGCATAGATCAAAGACTACAATGTTATTTAGGGAATAGATGGCATAGATAAGCTAATATAATCGGGAGATCTAGATCTATGGTTACGCTGTTTTGCGGTTTTGCACGCTGCATTTAATTTCTCCGCTAGGAGTAAAAGTATTCTGTTATTCTAATTTAATCTTTTTATTTTAAAGTAGAACTGTTTACCATCTAAAATATAACATTATGTTTTTTAAGTTTATTTTAATATACGTTTTAATATGCATTTGTCCATTAAAATCGGATAGTGTTAGTTTACAGAATGCAAGTGATGAAGATTTACTGCAATTAATAAAAGAAAAAGAGAAACTTATTGTTTTATTTTGTAAGTTTTAACAAATTAGAAAGATTTTATTGTGATATCAAGTTTACATTAGATATTTAATATTGCTTGTTTGTTATTGTTTGTCAATCTGTTTTAATTTACTTAAAATTATGTTCTTTTTATTGTTATCAACAATATTGGGAATACGGATGTAGAAAATAATGTGTGGTGGCGGCGGAAGAGAATTCGTCGTCTCGTGGGTATCAAAGTGACGGCTATGAGAAAAGCTAAATAATCTTATGTCTTCTCCAAATTTTGATGATAGAACATCTCGTTTACGTCAGGTAAAAAACAACCAGACGGGCGACGGGCAGCAGCGTGAAAGTCTCATCTAGAACTGCTGTTGTCAATCAGCCTGCCAAGCATGACTATTGAATCAAATCCTCCCTACACGGGAGAGGCCCATGACCGGAAGTGGACATTCAAGGGCTGATGAATAGAAAATATTAGAATTAGACCCATTTACGCAAACAGGAACCAACCCACAGCAGATTGATTTCCAGAAAATTGGACTTTTGTAAAAAGAGTGTGTAAAATGTATATGAGGCATATTAAAAAATAAATATTTACTAAACTTATGTGGGATATCGAAGCCTATCTAGGAATACATAATTCATACATTTTTATAAGATGTTTAGTTTAGTTTAGTTTATTTCTTCTAGAACATTTCTTTGCAAACAAGTATGTCATTCAAATAAAATCCCCGAGAATATTTTTTGATTTTATTTTAATTTTTCGTTGTAGTCGCGACATATGCGCGTTTCTTTTGTTTTTCTTTAATGCATGCTATTAGATACATATTTTGGGCAACAATATGAGCCTTACTAATCGAATTTTTTAAATTCTACAAGTTTTTCTTCAGTAGATCTTGACATTTTTTTACACAATTACAACTATAATCGATGAAAACCTTCGAATAGATGATTTTCTTTTTAAAGTTCTTATAGTTTTGGTTATTGGTACTGTCTTTTTCTGTCTTAACTTAGTGCTCCATCATATAATACTTTTCTACCTCTGGCTGTAGAGGAGTTTCAAGTTGCTCTAGTGTGAAATTTCACAGGGTAGGAGCAACACAGTTTTTATTCCCGCCAGCACAAATTAAAATAGGTTATGTAGGCATTCCTTGGGGGGAGGCCTATGTTCAGCAGTGAACTTGTGAAGGGCTGTAACAAACGTCTAAGAGCTTAATTTGTGTGAATTGATTTTAAGGTTATTTATTATATATTATATATATATTTACCTTATAAGGTTTTTTAGATATGTGTAATCTCTAAGATTTTTTTTTTCTAACACTGTTAAGTTTGGTTGAAAATATAACATTTAACTTTGAGGAATATTTAAGAGGAGATGGTAGGGAAACAAATGGTATGGTTTTAGACATTTTTAAAATTTAGGCCCTTGTGCAGTATACACAGTGCGTAGACGTTTTGGTGGAGTCTTATCTCAAGAGTACTTGAACTAAAATTGGGTTGGCTTTCTTTGTGCTAATTATATTTTTTTATTTATGTTTCAGCAAAGGCAAATTGTCCAGTCTGTGATGAATTTGAGCAGCATTTGGAAAGCTTAAGTGAAGACTTTAAAAAGCAATTAGGAGCATTTACAGTTAAGACTGAAAATAGCCATTTAGTTCGCCTGTACAGTCCTAGTAAAGAACCAGCTGTAGTATTCTTTAGACATGGTGTTCCTCTATTATATAATGGTAACGGCTTTTTTTTGACATATTTATTTTTATTTTAACTATTATAAACCAGTACTTGACAACTATCCCACCTGATAATAAGTGGTGATGCAGCTGAAGATGGTAAAGCGCACTGACTTAGCAAAAGCCTACTCACTCTTGACTTAAAGATACCCTCACTGTAGTGGGATTGAAATACAGATGATGCTGCCAAAAAATTTGAGATGTTTTATGATATCAACAATATTTTTTTAAATAAAATAATTATTATAATAAAAAAATACAACAAACTGCAATTTTAAGTGCTGATTTACCACGTGTTTGGCGGTGAAGCAAAACATTGTGAGGAAACCTGTATGTCTGAGAAATAAGAAAAAAATTATTTCGAAGACATGTGAAGTTTGTCAACACACATTTGGGCAGCGCGGTGGACATTTCCTTGCCCTAAAACTCTCTCAGATATGAGAGGTCTGTGCTCAGCAGTGGGACGTTTATAGGCTGTAACTTTAATACAACAAATTGTTAAAGGTGAACCTGATGAAAATGAAATTTATGGATTCTTTGAAAAAAACCAATCACCTGCTGTTAAGGAGCTTACAGACAAAATATTTGAGCATATGACACAAGCAGCTACAGGATCAACAACAGGAGATTGGTTTGTGATGTTGTAAGTACATATTAAAATATTTTGTTTAACAGTAATTACTAATATGTGAGTACTACTGACTACATATTTGAAATTAATATCATAACTAATAAAATGTAAAGTTTCAACTATTTATTAATTGTTTTTAGCTTATTTTTGTGGTGTTCAGAAACAGTATAATGCTTAGTGGGTATGCATGCATATACATGCATAAACATTATATATTATGTAACATTAAATTTTGTCTCCCCGATATGGACAAATATTTCAATCGATTTGTCATAACTCATAGGTAACTGAAATAAATGCGTTCATTTAGCAAACGGTGGCATTAACTTCTCAAAAAAAATTTCTAAAAAGTAAACTAAAAGCCAGTCAGCCAGTTTTTTACCTTTAAAAACTATGAATAATAAAATCATTTTCCATTCTAAGTCGGTGCTAAGACAAATTATATAAAAGAATATAAAAAAGTCCTGGCTCCTGTGTAACAGGAAGCCGATGAATCGCGCGTTATTTGATTTGATCAACGAGCGCGCGTAGTGGTAGAGTTGGTCGTCAGAGGGTACCAATCCATTTTCCGAGAGGTTGGTGCTGTTAGCCAACAGTATGTGTGCATGTGTGTGACAAGAAAAAGAAAGGGAAATAGAGAAGAAGAATGCATCAGCTGTGTGCTTAACCTAATATGTTGAGTATAAAGCCTTGGATATACTTGGGGACAAAAGGAGCGACATGTCGCTCCACAACTACGTGGAATGTCCCGAAACATATGTCGCGGAACATTTTGCAGGCCACGCAAGTCAGTGCTTATAGAAATGTCGCCCAAGGGTGTTGTGGCGATTAGTGCTGTGTATATAGTACTTACTTCAGGAGTGAAACATAAGAGTAAGATGAGGTGATGGATGCAGAATTTCTTACTACAACAAGAAGAATTAATATTTTAAGTGATATCCGAATGTCTGACGGATCATTTGTGAATTTTGCTCGAAAATGTCAACTTCTGATTTTGAAACTTTATTACAAATGATCAGACCTTCCATAGGCAAAACATGATACAATACTAAGAAACGCTGTTGACTCTCATATTAGACTTGCCATTGCATTAAGATACTTGTGGACTGGAGATGCTTATGCTTCCTTGTCGCACACTTTTCGAGTGTCGATACAACTGATCGGTAGAATAATACCAGAACTTTGTGGTTTGAAGTATCCCACAATAAAACATGACTCTGGTACCTAAAGCACAAGAAGTACGGTTTCGTTTCCCCACACTACTGACATGTTGCAAGGCACGTTGCGCACACGACTACACCCGGTAACAAATGGCGCGACACTGACACGGGGCACGTGCGCTCGCTCTTGGAGCAGGAACAAGCAACATGTCCCGCGTCCCTTAAAATGTTGCGGGTCACTGTACAACGTTGCATCGTCACGTAGATTGAGTGTTCCACGTCATGTTGCGGGACAAAATGTCCCCTAGTGTATCCGAGGCTTAAAGTGTGCTGTTATATAAACAAATGTATATGTGTAAACTATATTAATAAATGTATTTACTGTTGATAATTGTCTCCGCTTTCCCTCGTATTGAACAAAAATAACTGATTTCAATAAAAAAAAATGCATTACTCCTAGTGTTAATTAAATTAAATAAACTATTGATAAATCCAATTGTGCATGCTCTAAGCGCATTAAAAATTATGTATAACATGATTATACATAAATTTTTTAAAGTACTTTTAGATACACACAAGTTTTCTCTAATAACCTTATAATACTTCTAATTTTCCAATAATTTTATGTCAAACTTCAATTAAAAAAAAGTTTGGAAAATCCAAAAGTGCCCGACTCATAATGCTCACATGATCATTATATCATCATTCAGGTCACTCCATAAAGTCTGAGACGTAGTTAAGTATAAATATACTTAAATATATACATCTTACTTACTTTTAGTACGTAGTACTATCATTTATGCTATGCTTTTAAAATATTGTAATAAAAATCTGTGATTATTACCTATAATAATCAAGTAAGTATCTATCAAAATTGGTTTTTCGAATATTTTGTATTTGTACAGCGATCTTTTTTTAGGCCGTTGCAAACAACCGATACAGTATCCGCTCACGACGGTAGCTGAGGCCGAAGTGAGTGAGTGAGGCAGTCTATTTACTAAAATAAATTATTACAAGGTTGCTCAAAATTTTGGGATTTCTACGCCCAAAAAAATTAATTATAACTAAACAAAAGAAAATTAAACTGCCATTTACATTACATGGCTTCCCACATGATAGATGAAGAGTTTAAAAAATAGATTGAGTAAAACAATTGATATTTTCAAAAGTTATCATGTTTACCACTACGTGCAGACATGATAAATGTACACCATAAGCCACTAAAACCACTTTTTTATGCAAAAATAGCAATTAATAGATTAAAAAAATATATTAATTAGTTCAACAATAATTTATTTTTCTGACAATGTGCTAATAACATCTAAATGATCAATATGATTGTTAGATACGATTTTATGCGACAAAACGTTGGAATCTTGATTTTTAGGTGCTAGTAGAACATGCCTATGCGCTTTGCGCTTAAGACATGCAGTACAATTTTCATTAAAAGTAATTATTTTTCGTTACGAAAAATTCAAATAATATGTGAATCATTTTTTTTCAGGACATAATATTAATATTGCTTATCACCAAGGTGAGATGTCAGATGTTACACTTCATATGCGACTACTGTAAGGCTCGCTCGTTTATTTTTATAAAAAATATTTTTTTACCCGTTTAAGTGAAGTAAGGAATAGCACAATCTCAATGTCGTAAGGAATAGCACAATCTCAATTATATACATAGATTCAAAAAACATACAGTTAAATTCTAAATCTTCTTCTTTTTTGATGTCAGGCAAAAATAACAATCAACAATTAATATAATGCGTGGTAACAAATCAAAGAGCATGCTAAATATATAACATAATATAATATACAGGGTTATTTTGCAATAACTGGCCAAATTTGCAGAGAAGGTTCAGAATAATGATAATAATATCTTCTCAGGGATATTCATATATCTCTGGTACAGTCATATTATACTATACGGGGTGGAGCTGCTAAGAGACGCTTCCTTGAGCTCAAACGAGCTCGGCCCAGCCTCATGAAGGTTATGTTTTTCAAAGAGCGAAGGTTCTTGACTTAGGAACTATACCATGCTCGTTTGGCATATCTTTATAAAAGTATTAACAAATACCTAAATATTTATATGATAAAACATACCTTGAATGTAAAAGGCTTTTGCAAAAATTGTTAGAAACGAAAGGCTATGAGGAAACAGAAGCTTTACTAGACAAAGTAAAGTAGAATATCCACATTATTGTAATGTTTTTCGGTCATATGGCTAGTTTGTGCACTATCAGATGGACTGTGTGCCCGTTTGGCAACCTTATTCTAAAAAACAAAAATCTTCATATGTAATATTGTAGTGATCAGTGATTCATTTAGATTTTTTTTTTCAGTCATGGTGCTTCATGTGTGGAATGCCAAAGATTGCATGCAGTTTGGGAGAGTGTTGGGGCAACTCTACGAGGCCGTATTAATGTTGCTCGTGTAGATGCTAACTTGGCTGGGTTAAATACTGCCAAAAGATTCAAAATTACTAAACTACCTTCTTTTATTTTGTAAGTTATGTGTTATATTAAGTTTTAAATATATATATTTTACCACATATAATTTATACATGGTAGAGTCATGCTGCATATTAGTAGTATAGTTGTTGCACGAATGGGTCGGCTCGACTGGGGAAGGACCACGCTCTCACAGAACACCAGCTAAAATGGCAGCTTGACACTGCTGTGTTTCGTATGGTGAGTGTAGAGAACCGGAGATGCATTCGACTGGAAAAGGGGCATTCCATCTTAGTCCTCGCGGGTGATGACTATGATGTCTATGATATGATGATGGATATGTATATGATAGATGTCTATGGGTCACAGCAACCACTTACCATCAGGTGGACTGTGTGCTCGTTTGTCACACTATCCTATAAAAGAAATATATTAAAATATTTTGTTTAACAGTAATTAATAATATGTGAGCACTACATATTTGAAATTAATATCATAACTAATAAAATGTAAAGTTTCAATTATATATTAATTGATTTTAGCTAAGTTTTGTAGTGTTCAGAAACAGTATAATGTTTAGGGGGTATGCATATACACACAAACATTATATATTATGTAACATTAAAATTTGTTCCCCCTATATGGACAAATATTTGAATCGTTTTGTCATAACTCATAGGTAACTGAAATAAATGCGATCATTCTGCAATGGTGGCATGAAATTCTTTAAAAAAATTAGTATTAATTGATTAGTGAATATACATCACAAACAGCATTACAGTAATTAAATAAATATGTTTAAAGCCAAGATGAATAACGGATAATATGTCCATTTATAATATTACCTTTACATGCTATATGGGGAATTTCACGTCAAACGGACAGGGAAGAAAGTGAGGTTCTGAAATTTGTTCATATTAGGTCTAGTTAGACTTCTAGTAGATATAAATACGAACACAAATTTTTTTTTCATATGATGTGTATTTGTCTAGATGTGGGCTCCTAAAGAATCGTCTAAATCGAAATTAGGATTTTTTTGAAGAATTTTTTCGTATTGAAAACAATTACAATAAATTTTCAAACTACGCGATTTGTATAGAAAATTTCCTGATCTTTTTCAAAAAGGAATCAAATTTAAAAATATTTTTTTTAGTCTTCTAAACTGGAAGTAAACATTTCAAAACAAAATTTTGGAAACTTCGACCATTTTTTTTTAATTTCTTATTTCAAAATATAGTTTAGACTTTAGAGTATCTCAATAATACACCAGAAGTTTGGAAATAGGATATGCGTTAGTTAAGGAGATAGGTAAATTAATGTATGTATATGTAGCAGTCAGTATAATGTTTGTTTGTCACATTATCCTATAAAAAAAATTATGAGGATCTATTTTGATCGTCAAAAGAAAGCTTACTATTTCGTTCGAAAAAGCACATTATGAAAAATATTATAACTGACTATAGCTTGATAATTTAAATCGAATTTTGACGACTTACGAGGTTATTATTTATCAATTGTATCATAATTCTGTACTATATCAGGATTATAAATAAATAAGTCTTTTAAGTAGGGGCTTGAATAGCGGTTTTTTATACTTTGATGTTACGAAAATTAAGCAAATACTAATGAATTTTTAACGTGGTAGAGCCATGCTGCAGCTATATTGGTAGTATAGTTGTAGCACGAATGGGTCGACCGGGGAAGGACCACGCTTTCACAGAAAACCAGCGTAAAATAGCAGCTTAACGCTGCTGTGTTTCGTATGGTGAGTGTAGAGAACCGGAGACCCTTTTTACTGGCAAAGAGGCACTCCATTTTAGTCCTCACGGGTGACAACGCATCTGCATCTTGAGTCTTTATTGAGGATAGATGTAGATGTCTATGGGTCACAGTAACCACTTACCATCAGGTGGACTGTGTGCTCGTTTGTCGCCCGATCCTATAAAAAAAAATGAGGCAATCCATCTTAGTCTCAGAAGTGAATGTGTTTCTTAAACGAGAATAGATGTAGATGTCTATGGGCCACAGCATCAACTTACGAGTGGAGTGTGTGCTCGATTGTCACCCGTTTTCCTCCTTTCATTTCCTTTCCTGTTGTCCATCGATCACTAATAAAAAACATCTAGATACACAATCCCATGCAAAAGTTCTCTCAAACTGTCGCCAATTGTTTTGACGTAATTCTAGTTGAAATAAATATACATTAATGTAAATTCAACCTTAAATGCATTGCTTAAAGTTGTATTCACAAAGCTGCGTATATATTAAAAGCGCACACACAGCGTGATCGATGCTTTTGTGTTTAAAAAAGGTAATAAAACTCTATTGAGGAATTATACATTGATTCCCCTTTTGAGCCGCGTCTGTGTACGTGCTGTTTTCGAGAGTCGTTACGAATCGTCTTGTATGCAGACTCGACGACTTCTAAGCTGCCGAACAAGCCGGTTTCCGAAAAAGCTTTAATACCATAGACCACATACTTTGTAAATCGGCACCTAGAATATTTTCAAAAGTACACAGATATTAATACTACACAGTTAAAAACTCAATATTTGAACCTATTACACAAACCTCCTTGTCATACTTATTTTTATAGAAAAATGTGTATAATTTGTATATAATATAAATACCATTTTATAAATTACCGAATTTTATAAAAAAAATATAAGGAAACAAGTTCAAAACTTCTTTAACCGAATGGCTACAAAACAGGTGTTTTTATAATTTAAAAAAATATTTAAAGTTAATGTAGTTTTATTATTATTATTATTATTGGGGTATGTATAAAGTATTCTCATCTGGTTGGGCTGAATAAATATATAAGAGGAAATGATAAATATACATATTATTAAATAAATTAACATAAATAAATAATACATAAATAGATAAAAGTCCAACCAGATTGAAACCCTCGGCAGGGGAGACCAAACGGCCGAGGTTTAGGGGGAAAGGGAAAGAAACCGGCGGACGATGCGGGCGGTATCGTGGAGCACCGCCTTCTGCATTTGAGCCTGGAGTGGTCCATCACGGAGCCCCAGTCGCCTCAGGTGACCCGAGAGGCTGACCGGGATTAGCCCGGTCGCAGAGACGACTATAGGAATAATTTCGGTCGGCAAACCGAAATAATAGTTTATTTAAACTAGAATAATGATTATTTTAGGCGCTTTATTAGGCTAAAATTTTCGAATTTTGTTATGTTCTTCTAAAAACAAATGTAATTATTACAAAGTGGTAGTTACATACTGGAATATTATGTGTATATTTCTAATGTTAGTTTATTTGTTCTGAACACAATTATATTAAAAAAAATTTTTTTTCGCATGCCACAAATGGCAAAATATGTGGAAACAAGTATTGACTCTGTATCCATCCGTCTGTACCCATGTTTTTAGCGAAATAAATGATTTGATTTGATTTAAAACTAGGTAACAAATAAATTCCTTACAGAAATGTGCGGCGCATTTAAATCTTTGATATTTTTAATTATTTGTTTAACGACTTATTATTATAGCATTTACAAACTGCAGGGTTATCCAAGCTTATATTCTACGATCGTTTACTAGCTTATTTTTCTACATATAGGTGTAAGTAGTATGCCAGGTGACCGTTTTCGTCGTAGTTGGGTTTTAGTTTTAGTATCAAGTAAATATTGTTCGATTGATACAATTACGGTTGCTAAATTACCTATTACCGAAAAGGACTCGTATAATACAGTTATACGGACGACCTTGGAGGTCTTTCATTTATGTGCTTCTTTTTCTTAACTTTTAAATAAATTTGTTGCAAAATAAAGAGCTTAAGAAAATGTTTTCGTGATTGGTAGGTAAGCAAAAACAAACATAATTTACTAAGTACAAAAGCGAAGATTTATTTCTTTTATGATGCGTAAAAAATTGGGGTTGTAATCTATAAATATTGATATTGATATTTTTTACGCTGTGATGATTTTGCTATTGTGAAATTTGTAAAATAAAAGTACTTCCGAATATCGAATGAGTTCGACTGATGACTCAATTGGAAATTACAATACGGCCGATAGGTACTTCATTTAAAGCGCTAGGCGCTGGCATAGATTATACACATTAGTGTTGCCAGGTATCCCGATTTGCACGAGCTTTCCGGTTTTCAGGGTTTTGGTCACAGGTGCTGGCATTCATTTTATTTCTTTTAATTTTAAGAAGAAAACATAAAATAAGAGATGATTTTTATTTTCAAATTAATACATATATAGTATATAGTATAATATTATGTAACTATAATGTCATAATTTGTGTTCAACTGTAACTAAAATTTACATACATTATAATTTATTTATAAAAAAATATATATTTCGGTTAATTTTTTTTATCGATAGTTAATCGATAACTTTTGCTTTGATTTCTGTATCGTTGATCGCCTTTTTTTTAAATCTATTTAGCATTGTTATATCTCTAGATACGCTAAACTGTAAGCTGTCACCTGCACCATGCTACAACGTAAAGACTATAAGTAATGAGTTGATGACGTGAAAATTTTCATTTATCAACTAATCTTCAATGTTAGGCATATTTATAAATCGAATCGTAGGTATATTTTATGTTTCTATTAACATTTTCAAAAATATTTCCTAACTAGTTTTCTTAGTGGGTAATCACGTTTGCTTCAATCGCTTAGGCGGTTAAGTTAAGATGGAAAAAATATTACAATAAGAATGCAGACAGTAATTTATCATAATACAATTTTAATATGGATAAATGACATTTTATAAATTAGGTAGGACATTCAATTTCAGAAAGACCGCAAGTTAGGTCCTGCACAATTTAGTGGTTATACTTTGCCTGACAATATTTTTATTGTATTTCTGTTAAATTAGTGTATTATTTATCAATATATTGATGAAAAAAATGATTAGAGGTGGAAAATAATGTTATCCTATTGCAAAGTAGATGTTTCTGATCTTCTTTATGAACCAAAACGCACTGCAATTCGCCGTTTTTATCAAATGGCGAGTGTATTTTGCTACGAGTGCTGTATTTTCATGACTGGCTTAGAACGCACGTCAACTAGTTTTACAACAAGAATAATCGCCGGTCAAGTAATTTTGGCAGCAGCCTCGGCTACGACTCCGGTTGGGTATATACTCTAAGGAAATTTACGACAAAACATTAAAACCGACATGGCCCTTTAACCTTTAACATTTTTACGGTACAACCGTATAACATTATAGTATAAAGTGTATATTGTTTTATATTATAATCATGTGTTATATCATTTGCTTTCCAGCTTACGATTGGGTAAAGTGTACAGGTATGATTTACCGAAGACCGATGTTAAATCATTCGTGACGTTTGCACAGGATTGGTATAAAAATTCTAAAGCAGAAGTAGTGCCGCTTCAAGCCTCGCCCTTGTGAGTAGCTATTTTCTAAGTGTTGTATTTATTTTATGTTTTTACTATTGTTTTCAATTCCTAATAAAAGTTGCTGCTGGTGCCATGCTCTATACTCGGAAATTGTCTGTGTGAAATAGCCCATTAGGAAGATATCCGCAGTAGGATTAGAGTAACTGATATAGTTCAACGAATCAGTAAGCTGTAGTGGACATTTCCATTGGCCGGCCATCTGGTAAAGCCATGCTGCAGCACTTATGGTTGTAGCACAAATGTGTCGGCTCAACCAAGAAAGGATCACGCTCTCATAGATTACTAGCGTAAAATTGTCGCGTGATGCTGGATTTTATATGGTTAGTGTAGAGAACAGGAGACGCTTTTACTGGAAACAAGGCAATTATCTTAGTCCTCGGGGGTGACAACGCATCTAAATTTTGATTTTTAATTGACGATAGATATAGATTTCTGTGGGCCACAGACAGTGTGCTTGTTTGTTACACTTATTCTATATAAAACAGTTCAATCTTCAGATCGAAAATCCAATTTACACGTGTGTGAACACACCTTTGCGCAGTTATTTTTATTAAACTCAGATCAATAATTTACAAAAATTGAAGATTAACTTTTTGTGTTACAGCGATGAAGTAGTTGATTGGTGTGTGCAAATCCTTAAATATAGTATTGCATATGGATTGGATATGTTAGCCAAATATCCATGGATTTGGCAAATTGGGTTGGGAGGATTCAGTCTAGTAGCAATCACAGCTTTGATTGCATTAGTTAAAGCTGGAAAATCTAAGACAGCCAAAAATGTCAAGAAGGAGAAAAAGAGTAAATAGTAGGTACTAAATATTAACAAATAAAAATGGATTGGATACTATATTTCACAAGTAATTTGTTTCCTGTCATTCTCCTGTTTTATATATTATCCTGAAAAAAAAAAAGAAATATAGTACATTCCTCTTATTTTTATCATCAATTTTTTATAATCCGTCCAAACAAAAGTTGACATTTTGTAGCGCTAAGATTACATCTACATATTTATAAAGCAGTTATATTTTTTTATTTTTACATAAAATAATAAATATATATAAATTATATATGTATAAATTGACTTTAATTTGACATACCCTTCCATATATTCAATTCATTTTTAATATGTAAGTGGAGCAGCCATAGTATTTTTCCCGATATAGAACAAACAATCGTCTGTCACTATCATAGATATAGAACACAAACTAGTAAGAAGTGCTTAGAATATACTGGCGTAGTGGCCACAGAAACTAGTAGATTCTACCCGAATCAGGCGGATATCTCACGAACTAAACTTACTCAACTTAGCTTCTGCATTCTGTATTGTAGCAAAATGGTATGACATTTCTTTTCTTTTTTTTAAATTTGAAGCAGCTATACCCGGCATGTATGAAAAGATCGCCAAGCTACCTGCTATTATTTTTTCCGCTTCTTACATCACATATTTGACAAATTTTATGATGCATGTTAAATTTATCTAAATTTCTATAATAAAATAACGGCTCCTCTTGCGAAATTAAGATTTATTCATAAGAATTATTAAATTCAAATACAAATGTTACTGTTAGACTTATTACATTAAATAGTAAGTAGACATGATGCCATTAAAATTTGCTCCCGTTTCGTTTTCGATCAACAATACCAACAAGATGTCGGGTCGGCGCAAAAAATACGTCCCAGTAAATAAGAGCGCACTGTAGACGTGAATTATGTGGGCTCCAGCCAGAGGTTGCAAAAAAAAGCAACCTTTATTTATTTAATTTAAAGTAATTATTACAATTAATTCTTATAACTAAGTGAGGTGACTCTAATTCGATGTTTGAATGTAGAATGGATTCACACGGTAAAATATTAGAACCAGGTAATACAAGACAGTAGACACGTTATGCTGACACGGCGCCTCGTGATCGTCGTAAGCCGATGCAACGCAGCAGATTGCCTGGATTAGGGCTGCGTAACACCTCCCCCCGAAGAACAGCGACTATGGAAGACCTTGGTCGTGAATTGAGGTGGGAGTTGATCGGGATCAATCTTCTCAGTGTCTGGAACAGCGTATACCCTTAATGATTTAGCGATGGTCCTCTTCTGCGTTCCTTTGCGTACCTCCAGTTGGCTTCGGCTTGTATCTTCTATAGAGTATGCATAGAATCAGTGCACCTGCACTTATTATTAATGCGTAAAACGGTATTGTAGTATGATATAGACTGTAGTCATCGTTTCTTCCTAAATTCAATGGCGATTGCTGGGATATTTTAGTGTTCGTTGCATGAAGATGTTGGAGGTTTATTGAATTTAGTTTATATGCCGATGCAGATGGGATGCTGGTGTCTTCCTCAGGTATGTCCATTATCTTTAGAGCTTGTCCCTTCAATAGATCTTTAGTGTTTGAGATCGAGAATAGTGGCGTTTCTATATAGCATTTCAGAGGGACAATAATGAGATAACTACCTTGAAGTATTTTGTAGAGATCTTGTCCACAGGATAGATGTACTTTAGTTGGTGTAGGGAAAGTGATGGTGTAATGCTTGTCGTCCAGTTCTTCGTAAGCTGGTTTATCTAGGGTGACCGTGTACGGGTTACATACTGCATTCGTCTGTTGTTTAGTGATGAGGTGATGGATGCAATCAGGGGATGTTTGACCTCTCAGGCTCCGCTTTTCTTTACAGATGTACCATTTACTGGTCTTCGGGCATTCTGCCTCTATGTACTGAAAATCTTTCTGATAAATGGCTAGGAATGGAAAGGGTGGTGTGAGGATTTCGTGTCTCTTGTTGTGCATAGTGTTAGCTCTTATAAATGCTAAGTTGTTCTGTAACTTAATTAATTCCTGTGAAATGGAATCAACGTTATCACTAAGGATCATTAGTACTTGTCCAAAATGGGCATATTTAATTAGGTCATAGTCTCTGGTAGCCTCGGATTGATTTATTTTACCTATTAGTATTTCTAACTTATTTTGATTATCTACAATGCTATCTATTATTTTGGAGTATTGATTTGATAAGTCTTTAGTTAGCTTAGCTTACATGATTATTAAATTCCGTAACGATTTTATTTTCGTCTTCGCGGATGGATTTTATAGCGCGATTAAAATGATCTGCATCTGTATAATCAAGGTTACCAGTTACTTTTTATGATGGAACCGAGACCATCTACAAGTCCTCTTTTCTCACGGTTCGTTTTAAAGCTTCTCAACTGTATGGTGACACTTTCAAGCTTATTTTTAGGATAATCAATATGAGGCTGAAATAAGGAATTAGTTATGTTGTTAAGGTTAGGGCTAATACTGAATTAACTGTATTTTAACTGAATTTACTTTATCTCCTAATTCCTGGAGATTTACATATTACAGAAATGCATGGTAGTGGGATAGGATTCGAGCGGGGCCTAATTTGAAGGGTAATATACCAGGTCCATCACTAAGACTTTCAAGTCTTATCTCCTGCATTAGAGCTGGTCCCAGAAGGAGATGAAGTACCAGGAGAGTCTTGTAACAATTGGTTCGTTTTAGGTATTCTCTTCAATCGAGTTTTTGCTACGGGGCCTCGTTTTTTCTTTGTATAAATGTGAATTGGGAGGTTTGCCATTACTGTGTCGTGTGTGTATCGAGTAGCTAATTTCTGACGGGATGCGAATGGATTTCTTATAAAGATTTGTTGTTACGGGGAATATTCAGCTTCCTGTTCTCGGTTTTTATTGCGAGTATCAGTCAAGTCTTTACGCATGTCGTTACATAGGTCGTGAATAGTTTTATAGGTCTCAGTCATTCTGTCTTTGTGGTTTACGACGTACTGTTGAAGTAAGTGGGCGGACAGATCTATGTCAAAAGGATCGCGAGGGTCAAAATGTCCAGTAATTACTTCAATTGGTTTGCATTTTGTGAAGCTATGTATACTATGATTGTAAGCTAATAGGGCATAGGGCATAAGGCATAAGGTTAATAGCGGATTCATTCTTTTGATTTAGCTTTAAAATACGGAGATGTTCTAATATGGTGGCGTGAAATCGTTCAACGATACCATTTTCGTTGGGTGCATGTGGGGCTACTCTATGGTGCTGAATTTTATGAAGTCTAATGAATTCTGCAATAAGTTGGTTGGTAAACTCAGGGCCGTTATCGGAAACTATGGTAATTGGAATTCCATGATGTGTGCAGAAAATTAGTAAAGCTTGTACTACACTGACAGCAGTGCCTTCTCGCAAATAATACGCCTGAGCATATTTAGAAAAACTATCTACTATTATCAAATACTTTTCCCCTTGAATTGTTAATAGATCTACGTGAACTAGTTCAAAAGGCTTAGAAGCTGGTGGTACAATTTTAAATTTCTGTTTAACTGGGTTGCGGTCGTACTTAGCCTGTCCGCATACTGTACAGTCATTAATAAATTTAGTAATATGCTCTCTCATTTTCGGCCAGTAATATTTGCGGGACAAAGCCGAGAAACACTCGTTAATGCCTCGATGGTTCGTCTTTCCATCGTGATATTTATGAATGATTTCTTGCTGTCTTAAATACTCCCTAACGTTTTCCAATTCACTTTTTGTTAGAAAAAGTTTAAGAGATGAACTTTTAAAAGACTTTTGTATGATTGGTATGACAGTGTACATTGCAGAGTTTGGATTAATGAGTAATCCTGTCCTAATTTTCGGATGGACGTATTCTTTTATAGCATTAATGACATCCTATTCTATGTTATTATATATTATATATAGCTGTTATTATATATAGCTATTTGTATCGTAATGCGTGTGTGTGTTTCGAATGGCTTAGTGATAACTGGTCTAGCTTTTATGTCGCCTACTATATTTAAGATTATCTGTTTAGTGAACTTATTTAGCGGTTCGTCAGAAATGGGAACTTCCAGGATGGGGTTTTCATTATCTGTATGAACGGTGATGGTTCTGGAATCGTCTGCGGCTTCGGTAGCCGTTATAGTCTTAGAGTCATCTAAAGTGTGTACCCCTTCGGAAGGATTAGGTAAAATGGAAAGCAATTTATCTATTATAGGTGTTAGCTCGTCATTGTGAAGTACGATGCGCGATAGTGCATCGGCATTCGTGTTGCACTTGCCTTGCTTATATACGACACTAAAGTCATATTTACTTAACTTAAGGCGCCATCTGGTTAGACGCGAATTGGGTTCTTTTAAGCTCATAATCCATTGTAAGGGTTCATGATCTGTAATAATTTTGAACTTACGGCCGAATAAATAGGGACGGAAATACTTAGCCGAGGAAATACGATAGCTAAAAGTTCCTTTTCTATCGTGCTATAGTTACTTTCGCTGGAGTTAAGTGTACGAGAAGCATATGCAATGGGTTTGTCTGAACCGACTGTCCCCTGTGATAAAACTGCACCAATCGCCACGTTTGAGGCATCGGTTGTCAAAATAAAAGCTCTACTGAAGTCTGGATACTGTAAGATTGGGTCATTTGTTAAGAGAGTTTTACAGTGTTCAAAGCAGTTAATATAATTTTGATCTAATGTTATCTTTGATCCCTTTTTAAGACATTGAGTGAGTGGTTTTGTGAGACGTTCGAAGTCTGGTATAAATTTTCTATAATATCCTAGAAGTCCTAGAAAACGCTTAATTTCGGTTGTAGTTTTTGGCAGTGGGTATTTTTCGATGGCTTTAATTTTGTCTGGGATGGGTTTAACCCCGTTTTTACAAATAACATGACCTAGAAACTCGGTTTCCAGCTTCAAAAACTCTGATTTATCCATCTGAATTTTGAAGTTGGATTTCCGTAGCCTTTTGAATACTTTTTCCAGATTTGTCATATGTTCTTGTAAGGATGTACT